AAAAGCGAGAAGAAAGGACTAAACATTAACTGTGAGAAGACAATTCCTGATTATTACCAAATGGAACAGCCCAACATGTAAGTTACTAATTGGAGACAACAAAATTTAAATATCTAGGAAGTGTTTTAACAGAGGACGAAAAATTGCGACGCCGAAATCCGAAGGTGCATTGGTATAGCGAATGATGCCTTCCAGAAGTTAAACAAAGTATTAAGAAACAGGAAAAATCTCATTGGAAAGAAAGAAAAGTGTACTGAACTGAGATGTACCGTATTTGACGGCATATAAGGCGCACATTTTTTTTTTACTAAAATAATCTTTTAAAATTCCCCTGCGTTTTATATGCCATATGTAGTTTTAAAATTCGCGATAGTCAGCCGAAATTAGCTACCTGGCAACTCCTATTAGCTTAGACTTTAGAGTAACTTTCATAGTTCTTTCATGTCATTATTTAAAAGGCTATTATGCTGAATAAAAGTGGCATCATTGATAATATTCATTATATTAACTTCATCACGTTTAATATTAGTACTTTGTTTCACTAGAACTATATGCAATAAATTCAAATTACATATTTGTAAAATATATTTGTTTCATTAATATTTTTCTTACGATAACTTCCGCTTGCATTGGTATAAATACAATCAGAATTTTCATATCCTAATTATTACAATAAGGTGTTTACAAGACGTATGTTGTACAGATCATATAAAGGATATAATAAAGTTTTTACAGTCACGTGTTCTTTTTTTTCTGTTATTTTTCGTTTAATTGTAATCATGGCTTGTTTAACCAAAATAATACCTCATAAATATAGCCTAAAAATTTTACTAATTACTATTTTTTTTTATTTGGCCTGCTGAAATTGGGGCGCGTCTTATACACTCGTGCGTCTTATATGCCGTCAAATACGGTAATATGGGTACTTCTATTTGACAGTGAAAACTGGACCATCTCTTCATAGATAGAGAAGAGGAACACAACAGAACAGAAAGGATGCTGGGAATATCGTGGACTGAACACGTGAGCGAAGACAAAAGTTTATAGAAGTTGAAAATAAAGTACAATTATATGTAGCATCAGGAAAAAAAATTGAAATTTCAAGGGCACATAAATAGGGAAAAGGGCTTGGAAAGTTCATGCCTTTTGTAGTTCTTGGTAAGGTTTGTCTATCTCTCTCTATAATCCCTGTTCTGCTCAACCAACGATACACTTTTCATTGTTTCTAACGAAATTTTCATCTTCCTTTATACTTTGCTTAACTTTTGGAAGGCATCTTTTGCTATTGCAATGCGCCTTCGAATTTCGACGACACATTTTCGGTACTCTGCTAAAACATCTGTCTCTATTTCTGAAATGAAGTATTGTAATTATTTACATTATTTACATTGTTCGGACTGTTGTCCTCATCTTTATTGTCATGTTCACGACGTTTCGGCCGTTGTACTCCCCAGCCTTCTTCAGGTGATTGGAATTTCGAACTGAACACTTTATTCCGTCAACTGGGGTAGATTGTTCTAGTTCCATGTGCCACGTCTCTACCGGATATCTCTCCAAGTTTGTTTTTTTGTTTACCACTGTCGTAGCCAGGTATTGACCTCATAACTCTTTGGGTCAAATCACTGGATCCAACCAACACTTTTATCCAGTGCTAAGCCACAAAAATCTCCTGAGCCGGCCAAGCATAGAAATGAATACAATATGGGAACAAGTGATTCAGTTATAGAGAAAAGTAATAATAACAACAAAATTGGAATATGAGTTCTGTTAAAATTGGTTTTTAAGTCCCCAAAATTTGTACACTGATCAAGGTCCAGTCGATAAAAGCGCTGGTTGGATCCAGTGATTTGACCAAAAGAGGTGTGTGTCTAATACCTAGCTATGGTAGTGGTGAAAATAATAAAAAAAAAAACTTGGAAAGTTGAGTTAAAGGAAGATAACTGAAAAATCCAGAAGCGGCAATGGCCCATGGAACAAGAACAATTTACCTCGGTGGACGAAATAAAGGTTTATTTTGAAATTCCAATTTGTTAAAACACTTTAAATATATTTAAATTTTTGTATTTGCTTGATTTTCGTGCCTCCAATTTGTAATTTGCATTTTGGGCTATTCCTTTTTGCAGACAAACCCCACCAATTTGTAATTTGCATGTTGGGCTGTTCCTTTTTGCAGACTCCCACCTCCAATTTGTAATTTGCATTTTGGGCTCTTCCTTTTTGCAGACACCCCTCTCCAATTTGTAATGTGCATGTTGTGCTGTTCCTTTTTGCAGACAAACCCCTCCAATTTGTAATTTGCATTTTGGGATGTACAAACATAGATTTCATCTCTTTACAATTAATGTTTAGTCCTTTCTTTTTGTTTTTCTTTACTAGCTTCTGTAGGAATTCTTGTAGTTTCCTTTCTTTGTCTGCTATCAACATTGTGTCATCTGCAGATCTTATACTGTTAAGATTGTAATATAATTCCCGTTAGGATTTCTAATTCTCTCATAATCGCCTCAGCGTTAAGGTTAAATAAATCCGGTGAGAAGACCCGTCCTTGTCGTATTCCCCTGTTTATTTTGGTGTATTTACCGATTCATTTTCTATCCGTACGGATCTTACGACCATATCACGTTGAAATTCCGTACGATCACCGTAGTTAAGCCAGGTTAAGCCTGGTCAATACCTAGATGGGTGACCTCTTGTGAATACCAATTGTTGCAGGCTTTCATGTGCGTTTGGTGTAATGGACAACGGCTTGGAATTTGAAATCGGACAACCGAGTTCCAATTCCAGTAGGGTTCTGTATATTCACTTAAGCCCAAATACCCTTGGGAAAGGCATGAAACCACCTATTGTCCATCCTCTAGTTAATTTATGTGTTAATTAGTAGGACTTGTATCAGTAAATCATTATTATGCCCTAAAAAGTTTTGCAATCTAAAAATACTTCTGGTTTTAAATAATCTGCAAAAGGTTGATAAGCCGTAAAAATCAGTCAATAATTTGTTTTTCCGTGTGTAGGCGGTTTCCTCCCAGTATAAGTAGTGGGTTGTTCTACTGTTTTTCCCATATGAAAAAATATTTGTATCGTATTTTATCAAACACAGGGCAGAATAGCTGTCCAGAACAACGCTCTTTTAAGACAAAATGGTCTGTCAAACGAATTCGTAACTGATGGGATTTCAGTTTTCCTTAACAGTTTTGCCACTATAGCATTGTTAAGCCATAAATGATAACTAATTAGCGAAGTTATCCCAGTTTATTTTTTAAAAAGGAGCCCCCCAAATCGTAAGCAGAAAATTAAAAATTTAGCAACAACAAGAAAACTGGTGCATTCTAGCTGGAACTTCGATCACGTGACCACAATAATACCAACCATAAGCACGTATGAGCAGAAGGCGGTGTGATAAACTTAAATATATGTTATGGTGAAAGTGCGGATAATTTTTTATTTATTTATCCCCGTATATATAAAGTGGGTGAGAGAGAAAGGATGAGAATTAGTTAGCTAAGATTGATAAAGACAAAGGGAAAAGGGAAGGTGGGAAAAACTAAACTATGGATGAAGAAGGAGATAGATAGATAGATAGATAGATAGATAGATAGATAGATAGATAGATAGATAGAAACAGTCCGACATAGACAGTGATTGATATTTGTCAGATAGATAGATAGATTGGAACAGACTGACATAGATATATAGAAACAAACTGACATAGATAGATAGATAGATAGATAGATAGATAGAGAGAGAGAGAGAGAGAGAGAGAGAGAGAGAGAGAGAGAGACTGATATTTGTCAGCTAGCTAGATAGATAGATAGATAGGAACAAATTGACATAGATAGATAGATAGATAGATAGATAGATAGATAGATAGATAGATAGATATGAATACAGAAAAATTTAGATATGAACACATAGATCAACAGACAGTCGGATAGATATGAACACATAGATAGATAGATAGATAGATAGATAGATAGATAGATAGATAGATAGATAGAGTCTGATATTTGTTAGAGACTGATATTTGATAGATAGATAGAATCTGATATTTGTTAGATAGATAGATAGATAGATACTGATAGATAGATAGATAGATAGATAGATATGAATACAGAAAAAAGTTAGATATGAACACATAGATCAACAGACAGTCGGATAGATAGATAGATAGATAGATAGATACTGATAGATAGATAGATAGATAGATAGATAGATAGATAGATAGATAGATAGCGATAGAGAGAGAGATACATGTGGTGTTTTTGATGACGAATAATACGTAAGTAACTGATGGTGCTAGAGGTTAGATAAAAGCAGTCGGCCGACAAAGTAAATCATTTGAAATGCTGCAGCAGAGAGAGTTACGGATATGAAATGTTTATGTTTAACCTTTGACATCGAAACATTCCCAATTTTTCCCTATTACACCCCATTACTTCTCTCTGTTGTTCCCTCCCTCTCTCACTTCTTTCACCTCCTTTTATCTCCCCTCTCCTCTTTTCACTCTTATCTTCCCTCTTTCTCTGTTTTCTTCGCTTTCCCTCTCGCTTTTTTTTCTCATTCATTCTCACTCTCCTTCCTTCCACTCTTTTTCTTCCTTCCCACTCTTTGTCTCTTCTCCTTCCCTTCTCTCTCACACTCTTATCTCTTTCTTAATCCCTTTTCCCTCTATCTTTTCTTCCCTCTCCTTCTCTCTTTTCTTCTTTCTGCTCTCTTTTCTTTCCTCTCTTACTTATTTCCTCTTTCTCTTATTAACTCTTTCCCTGTTTCCTTCCCATTCTTTCTCTCTCCTTCTCTTCTCTCTGCTTTCTTTCTTATTCCTTATTCCCCGTCTCTTTTCTTCCCTCCCCTGCTTATTCCCTCTTCCACTTATTCCCTTTTCCCCTTCTTCCTTCCCGCTCTTTCTCTTTCTTATTTTTCTCCATCTTCTCACTTCCATCTTCTTCGTTTTCTTCCTCCGCCCTCTATCCTTCGTCTTCTTTCTTTATCGTATATTCGCGCGGATTCAGCTATAGATAACATCCAAGTATAAATTGAAAGATGGCGGACCCAGCGCAAATAAAACTGATATAAAATGTCCGAATTCTGAAATTCACAGATTAGAAGATTTTTTACCATGAAGGTAATCCTGGAAATCAACTATGGCATGCGACTTATTTGTTTCGTAGCGGCTCGGATTGGGGAATCGGAGAGCTGAGTTCGAATTCCAGTCGAATCCATTACATTCACTTACGTGCTAATACCCTTGGGAAAGGTATCAACTCTCCTTTTCTCCTTCCAGCTATGGGTAAATAGCAAGACAGACCAGGTTCTATAGGTTTGGATGGCAACTGGTTTACCGCAGAAAGAAATGGCAACCTACTACGTGAAAGAATCTACCTCGTCAGTCATGTATCGAAAGAGACATGATCGCCTAAGCGTGTATCACTGGTCTACCGCAGAAAGAAATGGCAACCTACTGCGGGTAAAAATCTTCCTCGTCAGTCATGTATCGTAAGATACATGATCTCCTATGCGTGTATCACTAGTCTACCGCAGAAAGAAATGGCAACCTACTGCGGAGAAAAATCTGCCTCGTCAGTCATGTATCGAAAGATGCATGATCGCCTACGCGTGTATCACGCATGGCACATAACTGACTGACTGGTGGTTTTGCTAAATTGTTTGCAATTCAGTTTATTGATCTTCGTGATGGTTGATACAAAATAGATCTAGAACAAAGTGAGCACGAATTTTTGTCTCCTTTTTGGAAAAAAAACTGTTAATGAAACCTTTTTTTGCCATACATTCAATGATGATCGCCAGAGGACTATTGAGAATATATCTGCCACTTCTACTTTTAAATCTGTATGAAATAACATCCAAACGTGAGAATCACATTTTGAAAGAAGAATAAGAAGAAATAAGGTTCAAACTTGAGATTTTGAAACTTTGAAATAAGCATGAAATAAGGTTCAAACTTGATACTTTCAACATTGTAATGAAAAAACTTTGAAATAAGAATGAAGCAAGGCTCAAACTTGAGAATTTAAAGCAGAAAAAGGATTGAGGTAAGGCTCAAATTTGAGAATTCCAACTTTGAAATAAGTTTGATATAAGAATGAAGCAAGGCTCAAACTTGAGAATTTAAAACACAAAAAGGAAATCAGGTAAGGCTCAAATTTGAGAATTCCAACTTTGAAATAAGTTTGATATAAGAATGAAGTAAGGCTCAAACTTGAGAATTTAAAACAGAAAAAGGATTGAGGTAAGGCTCAAATTTGAGAATTCCAACTTTGTAATGAGACAACTTTAAAATAAGACTGAACTAAAGCTCAAAATTCAGAATTTCATCTGTGAAATCAGAATGAAATGAGGCTCAAATTTGAGAATTTACCAAGCATGACTAGGATCATCTGAAATTACCTAAGGCTAATAAAAATTGTATTAGATATGCTGATAGGCAGCGTTTGTCTGATGCTTTTTGAGTCAATGCAATGAGTGGCATTGTACTGAGAGAATCGGAGGTAATCATCCATGTAACTTCGACGTTTTCTTCTTGAATCGCGCATACACACGTTTATTTGTGTTCGCAATTTTCGTGATTATTTATTTCAATTTGTAAAGAAACCTGTTGTAAAACAACGATTATAGAACTTGTTTTGTTAATCTAGTGAATATGATGCGTGTCGTCGCGTACCAGTCTAAGCTTAATATGCAACTGTTCTGATTTGCCAAAGATAATCAAGAGAGAAATATGAAATCTGACATTGAGTTCTCTTTCTCCGGTGTGCCTCTGTAGCAGCAACCCCCCAGCCCCCCGCCCGCCCGCCCCCGTAGGAATTGGTTATCCACAAAAAATATGTCATGCTAAAAACGGTTAACGCTCTGTAATCTCTGGAAGATAATTTGTTTAAACAGTCATTCTTTGTAATTATATCGTTTAATGATAACAAAACAATAATAATAATAATAATACAACAAAAACAAAAATAATAATAAATAAATACTTTTCGTAGATCATGTAATTTACTCATCATGACATCACACACACACACATATATATATATATTTATTTATTATGCAGTGTTACATTAGAACATGCACATATCCACTACAAAATTGTACATTTTTGTTTCAATGTCAAAAAAGTAAAACCTTTTTTAAAACTTCTCGTCATGTGTAATCACTGTAATTTTATTGTTCGTTCTTCTACACTTTGATATATATATATATACACACACACACACACACACACACACACACACACATATATATATATATATATATATATATATATATATATATATATATATATCTGTTTACATGTTACATCAAAAGGGGAACATCATAACCCAATATTAGTTAGAGTAAAACCATTAATACACCCTAGCTTGTAGAATAGAAAAACAATTTTTAATTGAGTATATCTTCACAGAAAATGTCTTTCCCAGGGGAGATAAATCCAGTTCTATTAACTTCTAACTACAGAAGTTAATAGAACTTTTTAAAATTAGAAAATAAAAGGAACAAATTAAAATTAAAATTTTTAAAATTAGAAAACAAAAGGAACAAGAAGAAACCTTGATGCTTATATATAATTAACATCTGCAAATAATTATAATATAAATTTAATAAAAAGGAGATCACTTGATATTCATCCAAGGCTGCCAGCCGATGTTCATTTAAGTAGGTATATTTGAACAAAAACAACCCCCCACCAAAAACCCCAAAAAGCCAAACAAAAAACAACAACAAAAAACCCAAAACAAAACAAAAAAACAAAAACAAACTCAAGCATAGGCATTAATGAATGTGCCGGTAGTGTCATGGTTAATAACTCCGATAGCAACATTGGCGGGTCGAGTTCGAATTCCAGTCGAGTTTATTACATTTACTTTCTCACAAATACTCTAGTATAACTTTCTCCCCAATTATGGATTAAATAGCAGGTCTGACAGGACTATTTTATCTTGAAGTGGCAACCAGTCTAGGAGGAGGATGGGCTTCGCCAGACTACCGTACCCTAGCCACTGCTGCCGTGGCTGCATTACATATGGTTCCCTTAAGTGTCTAATAGGGTCACAGGACATGCACACAAATGATCGAGTGATTCAGTCTAGCTCGCCTATTGCGGTATTTAAGCGACTATATTTGAACAACACAAACCAAAATAGCTAATGTTTTTTTTGGGGATATGGGATAAGAACAACTCTTGAATACAAACTGGTTGGGCGTAACGCTGATAACTCCACCTTGTAAAAAACTATTTACTAGCATGGTGAGGCCGTGATCCTATGCTCCACTGTGGAGGTGGCACTGGTCCATTCGTAAGAAAAGAGGAAAAAAGTTTCATGGCTCTCCACAGGTTCCTTTTCTTTATTTTTTGTAATTTACCAAGCAATCTTAGGAAAGATATTGGAGTGGTTTCCAGTTGCCTTCTTTGGTTGGAATTTAATGTCTTTCTTCTCAAAGACAAGTTACCACTAAAGGCTACTCTGCGTTTAAAGACATGACTGGCGGAAAATAAAGAGATATGAAATTTCCAAACGGCCTTTTTGTGAAAATGAACGCAACAGGCTAGCCCGGAATTTGAACTCGTCTCCTTGATTCCACGTTCAGTACTGATACTCGTTACACCAGTCGCACACGCAACTATTGGTTAAACGAAAGTAATTTGGAGCACTTGTAAATAATAGTTGGCGTAAGAGTCACGGAAGGTACAGTTTATTTCCTTAGTGCTTAACAAATATGTTCAGATATCAAGATTATCTTCAAGCAATTAGTTTGATTAATTCGTTTTATTTTTTACGATTTATCAAACCTTTGTGGGTTATTTAAAGCCGAAACATATTTTGGATTGACAGAATAATTCTTTTTTGCGAGTGAATATTGCATTAATAATTTTTATGAAAATAAAAAATATTTTTTTTTACTATTTAACCCATAGCTTGATGGAGGAGATAGTTGCGTACATTTCGGAAAATTTAAAAAAATGCAAATATCAATGAAATAGGTGCTATTTCAAATTTGACATTTGATTGATTTATTTGTTTTTTTTTAAAGTTTATCAACACTTCGCAGGTTATTTAAAGCCAGAAAATATTTATTTATGTTGTAAGAAATTTTTTCTTCTTTCTGGCGATGAAGGTATTTGTTTATAAATGAATGTAACGATCCCGACTGGAACTCGAACCCCGATTTCTCATTTGGAACCGCTATACATTACACCACCCTCGCATCCGCTTAAGCTGGTGAGTATGTAATTAAAACTTTTGATTGTATATAAACAGCTTGAATGCTGTTTATTCTGTGTGGTATCTTTGCGCCAAGTAGAACGTTTTCAAATTGCGGCGTATGTTTATCGTTCTTCTTTATTCAGATACGAGTTGTTAAGCAAAAATCATAATCCGGGGAGAACGCTCTTTAGGATGCAGTATAAGTGAAAGGAAGAAGACTGGGATAATGACTGGGATTTAGAAATCGGAGAGCCTAGTTCGAATTGCAGTCTAGTTCATTACATTCATTTACGTGCTAATACGCTTGGAAAAGGTATGAATTCATCTCCATCTCCATCCCATGTGTAGCAGGACAGATTGGGTTCTATATTATATCTGTACTGTAGTATGACGGACGCCAAAATAAGAAACTGTACTTTAATAAAAAGGACGTCAAAATAAGAAACTGTACTGTAGTATGAAAGACGCAAAAATAAGAAACTATACTGTAATATAACGGACGCAAAAATAAGAAACTGTACTGTGGTATAACGGATGCAAAAATAAGAAACTGTACGGTAGTATAACGGATGCAAAAATAAGAAATTGTACAGTAGTATAACGGACGCAAAAATAAGAAACTGTACTGTAGTATGACAGACGTCAAAAAAAAAAAACAACAAGAAACTGTACTATAGTATCACGGACGCCAAAATAAGAAACTGTACTGTAGTATAACGGACGCCAAAATAAGAAACTGTACTGTAGTATAACGGACGCCAAAATAAGAAACTGTACTGTATTATAACGGATGCAAAAATAATAAACTGTACTGTAGTATAACGGATGCAAAAATAAGAAACTGTACTGTAGTATCATGGATGCAAAAATGAGAAACTGTACTGTAGTATAACGGACGCGAAAATAAGAAACTGTACTGTAGTATGACGGAAGCAAAAATAAGAAACCGTACAGTGGTATAACGGATGCAAAAATAAGAAACTGTACTGTAGTATAACGGATGCAAAAATAAGAAACTGTACTGTAGTATGACGGATGCAAAAATAAGAAACTCTACTGTAGTATGACGGACGCAAAAATAAGAAATTGTACTGTAGTATAACAGATGCAAAAATAAGAAACTGTACTGTAGTATAACGGACGCGAAAATAAGAAACTGTACTGTAGTATGACGGAAGCAAAAATAAGAAACCGTACAGTGGTATAACGGATGCAAAAATAAGAAACTGTACTGTAGTATAACGGATGCAAAAATAAGAAACTGTACTGTAGTATGACGGATGCAAAAATAAGAAACTGTACTGTAGTATGACGGACGCAAAAATAAGAAATTGTACTGTAGTATAACAGATGCAAAAATAAGAAACTGTACTGTAGTATGACGGATGCAAAAATAAGAAACTTCACTGTAGTATCACGGATGCAAAAATAAGAAACTGTACTGTAGTATAACGGACGCAAAAATAAGAAACTGTACTGTAGTATGACGGATGCAAAAATAATAAGCCGTACTGTAGTATCACGGATGCAAAAATAAACTGTACTGTAGTATAACGGACGCAAAAATAAGAAACTCTACTGTAGTATAACGGATGCAAAAATAAGAAACTGTACTGTAGTATAACGGATGCAAAAATAAGAAACTGTACTGTAGTATAACGGATGCAAAAATAAGAAGCTGTACTGTAGTATTACGGATGCAAAAATAAGAAACAAAACAATGTATACAGAGATGATGCAAACAGCATCAAACGTAAATAACTTACAGGCCATTTTACGACCAGATCGATTTACGACCTGTCGGTCGTAACCAATCGTGGTCGTAAGTCGACGACGACGACCTGTATATAATTGATATTTATCAACTAATCAAGGACATTCAAAAAGTCGGAGAATATGTTGAACAAATAGATTTTGTGTGAAGTACTGCATTGATCCTTATAGAAATTATTGATGTAGCTACGGAAAAAATTGCTTGCTGGATCAGATATTCGTATACTTTGCCAACAACTCTTACTTTCTGGTGCCACACAATCTTCCTATATATATATATATATATATATATATATATATATAGAGAGAGAGAGAGAGAGATAGAGATAGATAAAGGAACAGGAATTAAGAAAACTGTTTTTTTTTTGCATAAAGATGTGGGGTGCTGTAAAGATTTTAGCCCGAATAATAGTCTCCCCACCACCCCGTCCAGAAAAATGATCTTTAGTCAGATATTATAAAGTGAGCCGAGTCGGTTACTAGGTAAGAATAAGTAAGTAATAAATGACTTACCCTCATTGGCGAGCCGTCGATGGAAGCAGACTCATAAGCTTCTCCCAACTTGAATTTGAAGGTTCTTCCTTTTGGTACTCCCACAATTCCAACATTGATTTCCCAACCTTCATCATTTAGTTGCTTGTATTCGATCTCGGTACGGGCGGCTCTGTACCATTCCTTCTTCTCTGGAGGCAGACCTGAAGTACGGTGAGAGGAAGAAAAACGAAAATCATTAATCATATATAACACTTATTAAAAGAGAAAGTACCTTACTTAAACGGAAAATTCTCGAGAGTGCCGCTATCGTATCTTATCAAAACATCAATCTCCAGATACACTATTTACATTATTCGGACTATTGTCCTCATCTTTTTTGTCATATTTATCAGAACGTTTCGGCCGTTATATGCTCCGGCCTTCTTCAGGTAGTTCGAATGTCGAACTGAACACTATCTCTTCGCTGGGGTAGACTGTTCTAGTTCCGCGTGCCATATCTAATGGATGTCAGTTATCTCCTGTTAATTCCCCCCCCAGGACACATGCCGCAGTGGATATATGAAAATATCCGGAGTTCAGTATCTGTTTATATTTCTGAGATGAGGTGTTATGTACACTATTTAAATTATTCGGACTATTGTCCTCATCTTTGTTGCCATATTTATTACAACGTTTCGGCCGTTGTACGCTTCGGCCTTCTTCAGATGGTTTGAATGTCGAACTGAACCCTTTATTTCGCTCGCTGGGGTAGACTATTCTAGTTCATATTGCAATATGAGCACTGGAAAAAAATGGATGTTGAAGACATTAGGTTTATAATACCCAGAAATTCCTGCGCAGATGTCCTCAAGGACACATGGCACAGTGGATAAAGGCGTTAGTTAGATCCAGTGACAAGACCCAAGGAGTGTGAGTTCAATACCTGGTAAAGGCGGTGGAGTTGAACGGTGGGTAAACGTTTTTAACTATTTTTATATCTATCGTGAAAACTTTGTCCCAGGCGCTCAAGTAGAACGGTTGAAATTGTTCAGGAACTCAGGACTCAAAGTGTTAAATTTAAAAATTTTGAAAAACTAACAACACTTTTACTTTTGCTTATAAATACTTCTCAAAATAAAATCCTCGCCTTTGTCTTGATATAGTCCCTCGGAGGAAGAAACGCGTCGACTAAGATAAGTTTTCCTTTTATCTGTATTCACACACACACACACACACACACATATATCTTAGGCGGATTTATGAAGCAGGCATAATATCCATCTCACGCACGGTGAATACTAGACCTGGTTTCTTTAATATTTCCCCTTTTCTAGCGAGATTAATGCTCGACAAGCGTGCATATAAATTTTAGTTCAAAATAGAATTCTTTTCATTTTTCATTCAAAATACTCAAAATTGTAGGAATACATTTTCACAGCGTCGCCCACGTGACGACAACGTGACCATGTTTTAAACAGCGCGCTGATCTTATAAAACTTTCAGTTATTTGTTTGGATAAGTCTTGTTTTAATGTACATCGTCCTTGTCATGTTGTATTGATAATGTTATATTTATGAATATGTCCTGAAGATGGTTTATTAGACCGAAACGTCAGACGTTGACATATTAACATTAAAACAGCATAATCGTATATAAGGAGTTTTGTTTTGTTTTTTCCGTATATATTTTTTCACACACACACACACACACACACACACACACACACACACACATATATATATATATATATATATATATATATATATATATATATATATATATATATATATATATATTTATAAATTCATACTAAGCATGGCGATAATTCCACCAAGACGATAATGCCACTAAGATGTAAGGAGCTGCTGGGGTGAAAGTAAGTGAATGAGGAGACTTTAGACCGAGCCGGAAACCCATACCTAAACTGGAAACGAGATAAACTATACCTGTTCAAAAAATCGGGGAGAGTCTGAAGCAGCTGATTGGCAAATCTATGTATCCGTATTATATAACTATATATATCATGTAATGATCGGAATACCAGGTTCTATAATCGTGGATGTGCAGGTGGTGTAATGGATAATGATTCGGAATTATTAATATGAGAGCCGAGTTTCAATTCCATTTGGGTTCGTTATAGTCACTTACGCACAAATATCCTTGGAAAGGCATGAATCCATCTCTTCTCCCCCAGCTATGGGTTAATTACTAAAACTTTTATCACTGAATCATTATTATCTCCCCGCCCCCCTCAAATTCTTACTATCTGAAAAATTCTTACATTCAAAATTTAAACAAAAAATAACCGGCAGAGAATTGATAATCAGTTGAGAAGGAATCAATCATATCAGATCATTCTACCAATGTTACTGGTACCATGTAACCTGCTGCATTGCCGGCGTATCAGTGACTAAACCGGTTGTCATACTAGGCTTTTTCTGATGAGGAAGGTGGCTAGACACCAAATAGGCTTTAAAAAAGAGCTGCTAAGAAAGGTGTCGTTCGAGATAATTTTTCTCTCAAGAATCGATCTTACATGTCTATACGTCTACCATTGATCTATGCTTAGAATATTGCTGCCACATATGGTCCGGTGCTCCTGCTATTTATCTTGAGCTCCTCGATAAGATCCAAAGAAGAATCAGCAGTATTATCGGTCCTGATCTGGCAGCTCGGCTACAATCACTTTCTCACCGACGTAAGTTTGCCTCTCTGTGTCTTTTCGATAAATAATTTAACGGTAATTGTTCGGATGAGCTCTTCGCTATGTTACCTAGAAGTTTTGAATTTAAGCGCAGTACTAGACTGACGCCGAGATCTCACCAATTTACGGCTGAGCTGGCTAGATGTAACTGTCAATTCTATGCTAACAGCGTCTTTTCTCGGACTACTCGCTTGTGGAATTACTGCTCCATGCTTTACAGCCAAATTTAATCTGCAAAGTATTGAAATGCAATGTCAATCGTTATCTACTGTCCTACTGATTACTTTTTCCTCTTACTGCTCGTTATTAATGTTTCTGTTTCTAATTCTTCCACACCGTCTTAGTCCTTGTAAATTAGTGGCTTTTTTACCTTCTATGGGGTAATAGCGATTAAAAAAAGAACCTTCAAAGGGCGGATGAAACTTGTATCTAACACAGTAGGGTAGACTGGCCTTCATAGCTGTGTATCTTTGTAATTCCTGTAATTCCTTTCTCAAGGTCGATCAGTCATTTCAGGTTTAATCCAAGATTACACGCGACAGGAAATAAGTCTCTTTTGGGCGGTAATAGGTTGTTAAGATCTGTATACGAAATAGCTTATTATCTTGTCTTTATAAACGAATAAAACTCCATGGAATAAGAAAACATCGACGTTAGTGTAATGTAAGACAACCTTCTGCGTGGTAAGTAAACATCAGTTCGGAGTAAATCAGTTATGTGCCATGCGTCATACACACTTAGGGGATCACGTCTCTTTCGATACATTACACGCGAGGCAGATTTATTCCCGCAGTAGGTTGCCATTTCTTTCTGCGATAGACCAGTTGTCATCCAAGAACCCGGTCTGTCCTGCTATTTACCCATAGCTGGGGGGGAGGAAGAGGATTCATACCTAAGAGTAAGTGAATGTAATGGATTCGACTGGAATTCGAACTCGGATTTCGTATTGATTTTTCAATTCCAGCCGCTATCCATTACTCCATTGTGTCTCCTCCAGTGCGGAGTAGTAGTACATATTATATCTATATATCGGTAAGGGTGTGTGTTTAGCTACGATAGGTAAGAACATTAAAAAAAAAAAAAAAAAGAAGCAAGTGGACTATTTATTAGAAATGGTCAATTTATTAGTGGACTATTTCTCAGAGATATGTTGACAAATATGTCAACATATCTTCAACAAGTTACTCTGTTACTGATTCAAGCATCAGTTTCTGATTTGCGGAAAAAGAAACCATGTAAATGTCGACAACCTCGATTTAGTCCAAGAAACAAAACCGGCTTAAGACTTCTTTACGTTGAAACACCGGTAATAAATCCCGGTAGGAGTCATAATTCTCTCTGAATCGCCTCACTGTAAACGAGGAGACACGTCCTTGTCATTCGCCCCTTTCTATTATATTTGAGTATTTACTGAGTTCATTTTCTGTCCGTACGGGGTCTACGGCCATATCACGATGAAACATCGGTTCACGTACGATCACCGTAGTTAAGCAACGTCGACCCTTGTCAGTATCTAGATGGGTGACCGCTTGGGAATACCAGGTGCTGCAGGCTTGGATGTGTAGGTGGTGTAATGGATAAACGGCTCAGAATTTGAAATCGGCCAACCAGTTGGTTGTAGTTATAATCATGTTCCCGCAAATATCCTTGGCAAAGGTATGGAAGGGCCATAGGTTAATTATAAGTCATGTTAATTAAATCATTATTATCACCAAATAATTCTTATAATCTATAAATATTTTCCGATTTAGAATAACCTTCAAAAGATTGATAAGCCTTAAAAAAAAATCAGTCATTTTTCTTACGCCCATACAGGACCACATTAAGGGTGTTCCAGTAAGCTGGATCGAGTTTAAATGTGAATTAAGTTTAAGCGTCTAATGATTATTTTTCTTTTCCTTTCAGATTTAACAAGTTAAGTCTTTGGCAATTTCAACCATGGAATGATTAACAATCAAACAACGTCGATCGAATCGAAGCTTATTACGAAAATGGACGTTCAAACAGAAATTCATTTTGCGCACTTTGCGATTATTTTGATCCACGTAATCGACCAACCGAGAGTGCAATTGGAAACGATGTAACGTTATTGTGGGGAGGTCCTGCGTACGATGACGATTAGAGGGGTCTGGATTTTCGGCCACATTCACGTGCACTGCAGCAATGTTTCCAGCTGAACGGCGTAAACGACCACGCAATGGTGTTTTCACATCTGCCACCGACCCAGTTTGTTTGAATTTACGAACAATTTTTCCAGTTGCACTCTTGAAAGTTTAACACGTTGTTTGATTGTTAATCTTTCCATGGTTAAAATTGCCAAAGACTTAAGTTGTTAAATCTGAAAGAAAAAGAAAAAGAAAATCATTAGACGCTTAAACTTAATTCACATTTAAAATCGTTCCAAGTTATTAGAACACCCTTTAGTAACCCTCTACCTTGAGTGGCTCTTGGGCATTGTATAGGGTGAACATTAGTATACAAAAATAACTGAATAAGTTTCAGACTACATAACGATCTCAATTGCACAAATAGAATGATAGCTGTTATCTCAGACACTCAGTGATCCCTTGAAGGTGCAGTAAGCTTGGATGTGCGGGTGGTGTAATCAACTCAACTTGGAACTGTTTATTGGAGAGCCGAGTTCCAATTCCAGTTGAGTTCGTTATATTCACTTACTCGTAAATACCCTTGAGAAAAGTATGAATTCATCTCTTCTCCCCTATCTATGGGTTAATTATTAAAACTTGTATCAAGAAATCATTATTATCTACCCCCCCCAATTCTTACAATCGAAAAATATTTTCTGGCTTTAAAATACTTGCAAATTGCTTCATTCGTTTTCTGCAGTTGATCAAACTGTAGAAAATGAATCAAGAAAAAACAAACTCGATTTTTACAAAAGTAACTGCGAGCTTATAAAAAGTTTATTAGTTAAGAAGAGTGGATGAATTGATTGATTTTGTTTAGCGGCATATCAACACCTCTATGGGCTTTTAATTGTGAAATATAAATATTTTGAACACAATTGAATACATTCAACTACAAATAAAATGTATTGTTGGTCATATTACTATAAAATGTATTGTTGGTCATTTTACTATAAAATGTATTGTTGGTCATTTTACTATAAAATGTATTGTTGGTCATATTAGTATAAAATGTATTGTTAATAATTCTACTATAAATAGACATTGTTGGTATTTTTTATATAAAAATGTATTATAGTTATTTTTTTGTTATTGTTTGGGGGTTTATTATTTGGCGATTGCTCGGACCTTAACGGTTGCTACCACGCCGAGTCTGGATGGAATCTAGGAACAACATCAATTAAGAGCTGGTTCTACGCTCAACAAAACCTTCAATCTCCCAATAAGAGGCCTTGCTACCAGATGTAGTATATCGTCATACCACAGGAAGTTTTGGATGGTTTCGAAGCAGACAATAACAAGAGTATTGAATTAGGATTTTGAATTTCTCCTTATCATTCATATTCGATTATGTATGTATGAATATCTATCTATCTATCTATCTATCTATCTATCTATCTATCTATCTATCTATCTCCTTCTTTTATTCACGTTTCATTGAATGCGATAAGGTTTGTGCCTTTCTGATTCCAAAGGTTTATCAAAGGATTCAGTTGGCATTTAGAACAAGTCGTCCAAAAACCTAAACTAACATCGTAATTAACCAGTGCGCAGGGATGATAAGTTTCGTGCCTTTCTGATTCCAAAGGTTTATCAAATGACTTAGTTGACACGTAGAACAAGTTGTCCCAAACTTAAAATTACTATCATAATTAAATAGCAAGCAAGACAGATTGGGTTCACTGCATCCAACCAAATTTTGACCAAGTCCTAAATCGGGAAGAAATCTCACCGAACGTCGTACAAGGAAGGTACTAATCAAAAAGTACTTAAAGAGGAACAAAAAATGGTATTTTTTTTTTTTTACTTTTTTTAAGATATACTTTCAGAGGAAAGAGAAAGTGACATTTATATATTAGCCCTATCGGAAAAGCTGTGAAGCGAGAAATTAAATAATTTCGGAATACATCACGGTGGGTTTAATTTGTGATCATTTTACTCGTGTCAGATTTGAAGTTATTAAAATTTGATAGCATCATTTTCATTGAGTCTATTGCATTGGAGTTGAAAATAATTGCTTTGCGCGGCTTGTTTTTGTTTTTTTTCATTGACAAGCAATGACTTTCGCCCTTAATACGTAGACCTGAAATGAGAAACTAAAAAAAAAAAAAAAAAAAAAAAAAAAGACAATGGAATCTTTTTATTCTTTGCAAAATTGTCTTATGTGGGCATATTAAAGTGATCTTTTTTTAATGTCCTTAGATAAAGTCTTTTCATTATTATTATTAGATGTATGCAAAAGTTCAACTTCACTCTTTAAAAACTGGGGACTCAATCTTTATGACTCACTCTCCCTCTTTTACTCCCGCTCTCTCCCCAATTCTGCCTGTCTGCCTGTCTGTCTGTCTCTTTCATATTGAGCACTTTCTAATAAGACCGCGCATATAATATATAAATAATTATATATATATATATATATATATATATTTATATTTATATACACTTTTTTACACACACACACACACACACACACACACACACACACACACAGATATATATATATATATATATATATATATATCGCAAAGGGATGATCAGGTTCATCTTATTATCCATGCACCCTGTTTAATTACGAACCAGATTATCCCTGTGCTATATATATATATATATATATATATATATATATATATATGCAAGTATAGGATTGGTGTATACGGAATAAATTCCAATAGCCAACAAATACTATTCTTAAAAGAGGGCTCAATACAGAGTAGAGCAAATATAATTATTTATTCGAAAATTATAACATAAATATGTTATAAAATTACTACAAGAATATCCATTTTGTTTCAACACTTCTGTTGTCTTATCAAGTGATGAGGTTGAATGTAGAACAGTATTAAAAAACATTTACCGGCCTGAATGTCCGAGAAATTTTCATAGAAAATTTTCGTCCTACGACAGGATTCGAACCCGTATCCGATACGGAACCGTCATATAGCCTGACGTGCCATACCGCTCGGCTACAAAGGATATATATCTTTTATTGTTCAAAATATATACATATATATATTGAACAATAAAAAATATTAAAAAATTAAAATCTTCAGACACACTGGGTTGTAGATTAATATTCTTTCGTTTTTATTATTGTTATTTCATTTATATATGTACATATATGTATATATAAATAAAAAGAAAGAACAGTAAGATATATAATCCGGTGTTCTTATAGATATTTTTATTTTACAAAATAGTGCTCGATGTAAATATACAGAGCATTAATATTATAAATTAATTGATTTAAAATATGTTTTTTTCCGCTACACAGTTCTAACCCTGTTTCAAAAATGGAAGCTAAAAGCTTAGAATTTAATTTTGTAATTAAATTAAAGACATTAGTTCCATTTTATCCTCAAGCGAATTTTGGAGTAACTTTTAAAATTACTGGGTTTTAAAGACACAGCTAAAATCATAATTCATGTTTCCAATGTTACAGATGAATCCCATTTACTAGACGAGGGTTGTCTATATTTTAATGTATCAGTTATTGCTACGTTTTGGTAGTGGGTAGGGATGTATTTTTCAATGAAATCTAACATCCGTTAAAAGCGTGTCGTCTGGATTTAAAAATTTTTTTTTTTATTCTTAACGGCTAAAATTCTTACGGCATTTTTTTCCTCGTATATTTAAAGATTTTGGTGGGTGTTTAGGTAAGAATTCTTTTTATTTAACTACAATAGCTGTGTCTTTAAAACCCAGTAATTTTTAAAAGTTACTCCAAAATTCGATTGAGGATGAAATGGAACTAATGTCTTTAATTTAATTACAAAATTAAATTCTAAGCTTTTAGCTTCCATTTTTGAAACATGGTTAGAACTGTGTAGCGGAAAAAAAAACATATTTTAAATCAATTAATTTATAATATATATATATATATATATATATATATATATATATATATATATATATATATATGAATAAAATCAGATTTTATGTATACATATATATATATATATATATGAATAAAATTAGATTTCATATATATATATATATATATGAATAAAGACAAAAGGAAAAACTTAGACTTTATCAAGGCAAATGCAATGATTTTATAAAAATGCTTTTAAATTTATAAATAAAATCCTCATATTTTCTTCATCCATCAGAATATGTATGGCATCGGTTAAATTGTTTTTATTCAAATTTCCTTTTACAGATAATTTGTAGTTGTATCTGAAATTCTTTACGTACATACACTCAAACACACACACACACACACACACATATGCATGTACATACACACACATATATGTGTGTGTGTCAGTGTGATAATGGTCAGCTACTCGTTTCCGAGCACACGCGTCTGGTAGTAAATCCCTTTTGTAGACACCTGCTCAGGCACATTAGTTGGAGAGAGCGCTTAGTCGAAACTGTGAACAACAGTTTGAACGGTACATTCAAA